AGCACCTCCTGTGGCCGGGAGGGCTGCTAGGGGGTGGCTGCGGGCAGGGCACTGGCTTTGGGCTGAGGCTCAGCCCCCTGTGTTACAAGACTCCCTGCGGCTCCTGGCTGCCCAGGGGTGGCCCTTGGCCCAGGGTGCTGTGGGGTCCCCACCTGCGGCTCCTGGCTGCCGGGGGGTGGCCCTGGGCCCAGGGTGCTGTGGGGTCACCAGGTGTAAGCCGCAGCCGCCGGCACCCAAACACTGACTCACGAGGCCACCTCACAGGGCCTGGAAGCCCGCCCGGGTGGGTTATTTTTGTTCCCAATTTCAACGGTGTTTGTGGCCCCCGCATCGTAGGGGAGAGCGCCCCTTCGGAGCTAAAAGGGGATGTGGGGGGCGGGCAGCGAGACGGTGCGGGCTGACTCGCCTCTGCCCGGCAGGCCCGCCCACACGGGCCCGGCAGAAGGACGGGCCCCCGGCCCTCGCACCGCCCCCCAGAAGGCGGGGTTGGGATGGGACGTGACCCCGAGCTCCGGGCACTGCCGTAGTGTGAGCGCGTCCAGAACTCGGACATGTACCGAAGGGAAGAGCTGCGGGCCTGGGGCCTCTCCCGCCTCCGATTGTCCTCCCGGGAGCGGGCGGACCTGTCTCCGCGCACAGCACGCCCCCACTGCACCCTGCATACGGGGTGTCTGGCCGGCCCTGCCCTGGCTGGAGGCGGGGGTGGGGGTGAGGCGCTGCTGGGCTGTCGGGCACCCCACACACCCCGCCCTGAGGCTTATCTGCAGAGCTGAGCGACGAGGGCCAGAGAGAGCCATGGGCATGAGCCGCCCTGCAGGGTGGACGCTGGGCCTCGGCCTCCACGTCCCGTGTCTGTCTCCTGCCTGAGACGCAGCGGGTGACGGAGGACCCTGAGCGCTGGCCGGTGCCTGGCTCGCCGCCGAGGGCACGGGGGCACAGCACGCGGCCTCAGAGCCAGGTGCACCGTGAGCGTGTGTGTCTCCGTCCCCGAACGAGGCCACTTGGAGAGGGCAGAGCTGCCGAGGGCACAGCCACCCTGGCAGCGCGGGCAGGACCCGGGCTGCTGCTGCCCCTTCGCTCCGAGCCGCCCGCCCTGCCTCTCCGGCCCCTCCCAGCCTGTGGTGGAGGGGGTGAAGAGAGAGAGAGAGAGAGGGTGGAGGAGGAGAGGGAGGAGGGCAGTCCCTGTGCAGCCCTCCTGCCGCGGCGCCCGCCCGCCTGCCTGCCCGCCCGCCGCTGCAGGCTTGTGGCTTCCAGGGCCGAGGGGCCGGGCTTGGCGGAGAGGGAACGCAGCCCCCACAAAGCCGCTCTGTTCTCGCAGCCCCTCCCCGGCCGGTGCATTTTTCTCCCATGATTCAGCAGCACGTGAACGGCAGGCCGAGCCCAAGGCTGCGGGCATGTGACCAAGGCCTGTGGCATGAGGTCCCGCTGGGCCCGCGGGAGAAGGGCGGAGGGTGCCGGGCTGGGGTCGGGGTCATGCCAGGGCCCCGTGGGGGGTGGGGGTGGGCATGGGATGTGGACCGTTCCCTCCAGCTCCAAGGTCGGGGCTGGGGAGCACAGGGACAGGAAACGGGGATGGGAGAGCTGGTCTCCATGGAGACGAGCATCCTGTGGACGGCCGCTCACGTGTGCGCTGGGATCCTGAACGGCCCTGGGCAGCCTGGCAGGCCCCAGGTCCAGGCTCACAGGCAGCGGGGCTGGGGCTGCACCAGGCGCCCTCCTTGTCCCCCTCCCTCCACCCCTCTGCTCTGAGCAGTTCCTGTTCTGGCATTCCTGCCCCTGACCTGGGTCACTCCGGCCAGTCTTGCCCTTGCCCTTGCCCTGGATGGGCAGGGCCCTGCCCCAGAGCTGGGCACCGTGGTCGGTTCCTGAGGACGGGAGGGTGCGGGGCCCTGCGGGGGGTGTGGCCTCTCGCAGCTGCTGCAGGGACCTCGGTTCCCCCTGCTCAGGGCTGTTTCTAATTACTGAGCGACAACCCCTTTTTCTGCGTTTCCCTAACAGGAGTGGACTCGGAGGCCTGCTCCACCGCTGACCGAGGGGGCTGGGGGAGGCCGGGGAGGGCTGGGGCAAGTCCCCCGTTCCCGTCCCCCCCCCCTGCGGGCACCTGGACAGCGGGGCTGGGTGGGCAGTGGGGCTGCAGGGGCAGACGGGGCCGGTGGGGCTGACCCTCCCTCGGACTCTCGGCACCGAGCCAGCACTGATGTCATGCCTTCCTTGTGACATCTCCGGGCTGCTCAGCCGCACCCGTCCCTCATGCCGCTCAGGGGCGTGGGTCTGTGGTCTGCGGGCACAGGCCCCTCTCCAGGCCCCCGGCCCCTCCGGCCCGGGGCAGCCCCCCTGCTCGCGAAGCAGACGCGGGCCCACGGGGAAGGTGCGCCGTGTCTGCTGTGCCCCCCACGCCCTCGGCGGTGAGCCAGGCACAGGCCAGCGGCTCAGGGTCCTCCGTCGCCGAGGCAGGGACCCTCCCCAGTGGCAGCACGGAGCTGGGTGCAGGCATGGGGGGCCCGGCACCCTGTGGTAGAGGGTGGGTGTCTCTGCCCGGTGCCTTCTCTGGGGAGCGGAGGCAGGAGCATGGAGCTTTCCCGCCCGCCAGCCTGGAGCGCATGGGGGCTGGTTCCCACCGTCTGGGAGGAAATCGTTTCTGAACGCCTGCGACGTGACTGGCACGTCCTACCCAGAGGCACAGGAGTGGCCATGTGACGGACGAGGCCAGGGCGCAATGCCCCCTGCCCCCTGCCCCCAGGAAACACCCCTGCTCTGCGGGCACCGGCCATGGCCGTGCGGCGGCTCCCGCGCTCAAACCCGGCCCCAGGTGCCGGCCAGCGGTCACTCCGGTCGCTGCGGGGATGCCCCGTCCTCCCATGCTCCCTCTCTCGATGGGGCCAGCAGGGTCTTTGGCAAACGTGCTGGCCAGTCCCCCAGGTTCCTCCCGCAGGGAGTAGCACAGGAGCCAGGGCCCCTCGTGGGGGAGCCGCTGGACACTCCCCCGCAGCACCTGTCCCGTCCCTCTGGAGGCCTGGGGGAGGGGGCGGCAGGGCCGCGACGTGCCCTCTGCTGGCCCTGAGCCACCCTGCCCGTCTGAGTCAGGGCCTGGGCTCTGACCTCGCAGGAGACGGATGTTTTTCCGAATCCTGAGATTCTCGCACCTCATCTGGGCAACCCCGTGACTCCCTCCGCCAGGCTCTGCCTCCGGGCGGGGGCCGGGGCCAGGGCCCAGGCCGTGGCGCCACATGGCACGTGTGAATGCCCAGGGCCCTCCCGCCCTCGGGGGTGGCAGCCGAGCCAGAGCAGCCAGGGAAAGGCCCCCAGGTTAGCACCGCATGGGGCCCCGGTGTCCCGAGCAGCAGGCCCGTGGTGAGATAATGAGGATATTCACACCGAGCTCTCCACCCGGGCCCCCCGAGAGTGCACACGGCTTGTTGGGGCGCAGCAGGGTCAGAGGTGTTGGGAGGGGCGGGAGGGGGGCCCCGAGGCTTCCCCAAGCCCCCTCGCTGCCCCCTCGCCGTCCCCTCTCTGTCCCCTGCCCCTCGTGACGGTGGCAGACAGCCTGGCCGGCCGGGTCTCCCCAGGGGCCCTGCGGCCACCCGCTCTGCCCGTGACGCTAACTTTCCGCCGTCTCCCCGCCCCCACCCGCGGCCGGTTGTTTGTGCAGCTCCGGGAGGAAGCGGCGTCACGCGGGCCGGGCGGGGGCGGGGCTGCGGCGGCGTGTGCTAGCTCAGGTGGCCGTGCGGCCCAGTAGCCGGCCTCTGGCGGGAATTCGTCAGCCCGCGGTCACCCTGGCCCAGCCCAGCTGCTGGGCGGCCGGCGGCCGGGAAAGAAGGAAGCGGCCGGGGGGACTCCCTCCTCCTGTCCCTCTGCCTCCTGCAGAGCAGCCGCTGCAGGGCCAGCATCAGCCCCAGCACACAGTACGTGTTCAGTAAACACGAGTCCAGGCCTGGGGTTTAATTTTTAAAAATGTTTTTGCTGATTTCAGAGCGGGAGAGGGAAACATCAGTGACGAGAGAGAATCATTGGCCGGCTGCCTCCTGCACGTCCCTGGCGGATCGGGTTGAGCCCACACCCCAGCCGTGTGCCTTGGCCTGAAATGGAACTGTGACCTCCTGGTTCATGGTGACACTCGGCCACTGAGCCACACTGGCCGGACTCCCCATTGACGTCTCTCTCTTCCCCCCTCCCGCTTCTCTGGAGCCAATAACGAGTAAAGGGAGAGGCAGAGGGACTGGCTCCGGGGAGACCGTCCCGCAGCCCCGGCAAATGCCTTCCGGACACGGGCGGGCACCCCTGTCCTGCCGGTGCCAGGGGTCGACGGGGTCAGCACTTGGGGCGGCAGAGACACGCAGGGCTTTGGAAATGGACCCTCCCAGCCCGACCAAGGCAGCGGCAGTGGGCAGATTGCAAAGCGTTGCCCGTTTTGGACGTGGGCAGCGGGCAGCCGAGGTGGATGGGTGAGCGGGGAGGGCCGTGACCACAAGCCCCTGGTGCTGGTGGGGGAGACGCCGGGCGATGGCTGCTTCCCAGGAACAAGCCCTCGGGGGCGGCCCGGGCGGCGTCTCCCAGCCGAGGCCTCGCAGACTGGATCCGTCATGGCTCGGCTCCCACAGAGGAAATATAATAGAATGGGGGTTGGGCCTGGGCGGGGCGCTGGCCCTGGTGGGGGGCTCCGGGCCCAGGCTGAGATGTAGAGAGAACTTGGGGTCCTGAGACCTGAGTCTGCCTGGGGGTGGGAGTGGGGGGGGTGGGGGCGGGGGCAGGACGCTCCCTCTGCAGGAACTGACCTGCAGGGCCGCGTGTCGCAGGGCGGAGCTGAAAGCCGTGGAGACCAGCCGATGCGCCTGGGAGTGAAAAGGGGGTGCGCTCTGCCCCGTGGCTGCATGCGCCCTGGTCCCCGAGTTGTCGGGCTACGGGGAGCAGCCGAGTCCTGGCCTAATTGCCTCGCTGCTGCCCCTTCTGGTGCCGTCCGCCCGCCCGCCCGCCCCCTCACGTCCGCGTCCTGTGCTTTGCAGTGATCCGGGCCAAGGTGGTGAGCGAGAAGGAGGTGGGCTCCGGCGAGGATGTCTACGGCAACCCCATCAAGAGGATCCAGTACGAGATCAAGCAGATCAAGGTGAGGAGGGGGGCGGGGGGATGTCAGAGTGAGGAGACCCCGCGGAAGTGTTCCACCCCGGATCCGGATCCCCCCACCCGCCCACCCCGATGGGAGGTGCTGCTGGGCCCTGCCTGCAGCCAGCTGACCCAGGAGCGCCGCCTGGGCCTCAAGCACCCGGCGGAGTGATGCCCCTTGACCAGGAAATGCCGGGGAGCTGATTGGACCTGCTGTGGCCCTGCCCCCGGGTTATTTCGGAACCGGGTTCTCTCCATTTCGACGGGTGTGGTCCAGGAGCCCACATGCCGCCCCCTTTCCATGCACCCAGCTTCCCTGGGGCTGCACCCCAAAACGGCGTGGAGCCAGCGTTCTCAGTCCCACTCCCGTCCTGTCCCTGCCTGTGGCCGCCCGGAGGGGGGGCGCTCCCGGCGTGGCTTTCTCATGTCCTGCTGGGGGGCCTGGTCCCCCCCTGAGCCTGGAAGCATGCAGGGCGGGGAGGGGGGCCCTCCGTGTGGTCACAGTCCCCGGAGACCACAAGTCCCCGCAGAGATCCCGGAATGACCCCCGGGGGCGGCTGGCACAGGGGTGTCCGAGGCGGGCCCTTCGGTGTCATTAGCCCGGCCTGTGGGCAGCAGCCACGCTGAGCGAGGAGTGACCCCGGGCGTCGCCCGCAGAGGGACCGGGGCGGGGGGGGGGTGCTGTCCGCCCCACGGGCACGTGCTGGGGTGCACGGGCGGGAGTGGGGTTGGCGGCTGCCCGGCCACCCGCTGACCTGGGCCGCCTGGTCTTCCCAGATGTTCAAGGGGCCTGACCGGGACATCGAGTTCATCTACACGGCCCCCTCCTCCGCCATCTGCGGGGTCTCGCTGGACGTCGGAGGCAAGAAGGAGTATCTCATCGCAGGTGCGTGCCGTGTGGACGCGGCGAGGGGCGGGGCGGGGCGCTGGGCGTGGCCTCTGGGCTGCCCTGCCTTTTCTCTCTTCCTCCGATTTATTCACTAGCGCCGGGCTCAGCCCTCCCAGCTGTGGCGGCTTGCCTCGGCCCTCGCAGCCCCGACTTCACCAGGGGTCGTTAGGCCACCCGGTGTAATCAGCATATTACCCTCTTACTATTACAGATTGATGTTAGAGAGGGAAAGAAGGGAGGGGAGCGAGATCGCTTTGCTGTCCCACTATGTGCGCATTCATTGGTTGCTGCTTCTTTGTGCTCTGACCTGGAACTGACCCCCAAACCTTGGGGTGCCTTTCCCCGGGGAGAATTCCTGGTGCACGGTCCCCTCCCGCCCTCCCCCGGGGCACCCCCCTCTGCTCCTCACACAGTGGCACCTGGGGCTCGATGGGAAGAAGCAGGGACCAGGAGGGGCCGGGAGGTCGGGCGGAGACAAAGGGGCCTGGGAGATTGCTGGGGGCCTCCAGGCTGGGCCGGGGCCAGGAGCGGGGCGGGGGGAGGGGAGAGGGGAAACCCCGGCTGGGATCTGTCTGTATGATTGTGCACCCGCATCTCCGAGGTGCATCGTGGGCAGATCCACAGCACGTGCATGAACTGTCGTCACCGTTTCTAAGGAGGGAGGGGGAGGGCTGTGGCCTGCCCGGTCCCCCCTCCCGCCGGCGCCCACGCCCGGCGCCTGCCCGCGTTTCTCCCTGCTCCTGAGACTCGGCTCCTCTCCTCGGACGATGGAGGTTCTGAGGGCAGCCTCATTGCGACTCGATCCGCACCCCTCAGTTCTCCCATAGACGGCGTGACTGGTTTCGGTGTTGACAGGGCTGTGCAGCCACCACCCGAGTCCGGAAGTGTTGTACCCCCGCTGTTGCCCCCCCCAAGCCTCCTTCTCCCCCACCTCACCTCCACGGAGCCGCTCCTGATTCAGACCCTGCTCCAGACCCTGTGTGGTGGGACCGCGCACTCCGGGGTCCCGCAGCACGTGCTTTCGAAGCTCACGTGTGTGGTAGGCGGGGCCAGCCCTCCCGCCTTCCGCGGCCCAGTGATGCCCATTGCACGGCTGCACCCCGTCCCGCCTCCCCATTCATCCTCGGACGCGGGGTGTTCCCACCTCGGGGGTTGTGGGCGGTGTTGCTGGAGCAGCCGTGCACGCGGGTCTGCGTGGCCGTGTGTTGGCACCTCGGGCGGATGCCCGCCGTGGAATCGCGAGGCAGATGGTGACTCTGTTTATCGTTCGAGGAGCCGCCAGACGGCTCTCCGCGGCGCCGCGCCGGCTTCCCTCCTGGCTCGGCTATTTTCGCAGGGAAAGCGCCATCCCATGGAGCGGGGCGCGGGACAGGAGGCAGCGCTCGGAGCCGAGGCGGCCGCCGGGGCAGGGAGGCGGGAGGCTGCTGGTGCACCGGCACAGGTGCAGGCGTCCCCGCACCTTAGGGGCCTGGCCCGCCCAGCCTGCGCCCGGGACAGCGGAGGCAATTCACCGTCACTCACGTCTCCTTTTCGGTTACTTTTATGATGCGCTCCAGAGGGAAGAGAAAGAGACTAAGCCTCCCGGCGTGCAGGGAGCTTGCTGCCGTGGCCATTCGGCGGTCACTGGTTTGCGGGTCCTCCCAGTGCTGCTCCTCTCTGAGCTGCTCCCTCTCGGTGCTGCTCCCTCTGGGTGCTGCTCCCTCTGGGTGCTGCTTCTCTCTGAGCTGCTTCTCTCTGTGCTGCTCCCTCTCGGTGCTGCTCCCTCTTGGTGCTGTTCCCTCTCTGTGCTGCTCCTCTCTGCTGTTCCTCGCAGTGCTGCTCCTCTCGGTGCTGCTCCTCGCGGTGCTGCTCCCTCTCGGTGCTGCTCCCTCTCGGTGCTGTTCCCTCTGGGTGCTGCTCCTCTCTGTGCTGCTTCCTCTCGGTGCTGCTCCTCTCGGTGCTGCTCCCTGAGGACCCACACAATGAAGCGAGGGGCAGAGCCGGGGTGCACACTCCATCTCTGCTGGGTTGGGGTGTGGACAGGAGGCACTGTCGCGTGTTTCTCTCCTATGGATGATTCTCTCTGTCGCTCCCCCACCTTCCATTGTCTCTAAACTTAACGGAGCCCGGGCCTGGGTGGCGCAGTCGGTTGAACGCTGTCCCGTGCAGCAGTCTCCTGTTCCATTCCTGATCAGGGCCCCGGGTGGCAGGCTCCGTCCCCAGGAGGCAGCTGATGACTGTTTCTCTCTCTCCCTCTCCTTCTCCTTCTTTCCCTCTCCCTCTCCCTCTCCTCTCCCTCTCCCCCTCCCCCTCCCCCGCCCCCGCCCCCGCCCCCTCCCCCTCTCTCTAAACATCAATAACAACATTTAGAAAATGAGACTGGGAAAATATCCTTGGGTGAGGAGTAACCAAAAACAAAAATAAGATGAGCGCCTGAGAGGTCGCACTGCCCTCTAGGGGCTGTCTGCCCAAACTGCAGGGCTGCAGGCGCTGGCGAAGGAGGCAGTGGAGTGACCTTGGTCTGCACACTTCCCTGTTCTGGAAACCTCTGTGCCCTTTGCCACCCGACCCCGTCCCTGGCTCAGTGGCCGCTCCGGGTGAAACCGGCGTGGACCTGCTCAAGCAGAGGTTCTAAACCTCTCTCTCCCAGAGCCAGGGGGCTCCCCAGACATCACGGGGAGCAGCCCCTGGCCGCGCTGGCTGCCGCCGGGGAGTGACCCCATGGCCCGGGCAGCTCGCCCCCTTCAGGGCTGGTGACTCACCGGCACCTGTCAAGTTGGACACGCATGTTTGGGGCCCCTCAGAGAAGCGGCCCTGTGGTTTTCTCCCACAGTCCTCTCCAGCCCCACAGGAAGAATAAACACGCAACCCTCAGCTACAAATTGTAATGGATCCCTGTGTTTCTGCACCCAAGACAGACTTCATTTATTATTAATCGCAGACGCGCATGGAGTGTTGTAGCAGGTGCTCGAGCCAGGCATGCCCACGCGTCTTTTTGTTTTTATTTTATTTTTTATTGAGAGGGAGGGAGGGGGATAGAGAGAAACATTGATGAGAGGGAAACATCAATCGGCTGCCTCCTGCACACCCCCTACTGGCAATGTGCCCACAACCAAGGTGCATGTCCTTGACCGGAATCAAACCTTGGGACTCTTTAGTCTGCAGGCCAATGCTCTCTTCACTGAGCCAAATCGGTTAGGGCTTTTGTTTTTTTAAAAATATGTTTTTATTGATTTCAGAGATGAATAGAGGACAGAGAGAGAAACATCAATGGCGAGAGAGAATTAATGGTGGGCCGCCTCCAGCACGCCCCACACGGGAGAGCGAGCCCACACCCCGGGCCTGTGCCCTGACCGGGAATCGAACCCTGACCTCCTGGTTCATAGGTCACTCAACCACCGAGCCACACAGCTAGGGCATGACTCTGCCCTCCGCCCATGGCGTTGTCAGCCCGGGCCACACCGGCTGCTGGAGGGGCAGGAGGGAGCCGGCGGCGTGCCCGTGCTGAGCTCGGCGGCCCCCTCTCTCCCCAGGAAAGTCCGACGGGGACGGCAAGATGCACATCACGCTCTGCGACTTCATCGTGCCCTGGGACACCCTGAGCACCACGCAGAAGAAGAGCCTGAGCCACAGGTACCAGATGGGCTGCGAGTGCAAGGTGAGCCGCCGCTCCGGGCGCACGCCAGGCTTTCTCCCCGGGCTTTCCCGCCTCCCTGCCCGGGGCCTCCCCGTGCCTGGGGCCTCCCCGTGCCTGGGGCCTCCCCGTGCCCAGGGCCTCGCCCTTCCCAGGGCCTCCCCGTGCCCAGGGCCTCGCCCTGCCCAGGGCCTCCCCGTGCCCAGGGCCTCGCCGTGCCCAGGGCCACCCGGTGCCCAGGGCCTCCCCGTGCCCAGGGCCTCGCCGTGCCCAGGGCCTCGCCGTGCCCAGGGCCTCCCCGTGCCCGGGGCCTCGCCGTGCCCGGGGCCTCGCCGTGCCCAGGGCCTCCCCGTGCCCGGGGCCTCGCCGTGCCCAGGGCCTCCCCGTGCCCGGGGCCTCGCCGTGCCCAGGGCCCCGACTCAGCTCAGGACTCCGGGAGGTGTGGGCTCCCCACGGGTGGGGCCTTCGGTGGGGACACAGCCCTGAGGCGCGCCTCTGCCGAGGGGGGCCTGGCCATGTGACCACAGCTTCCGGGAGGAGCAGTTTGGGGGAGAATGGGGGCCCCTGGGTATTTTCTGCCGGGAGGAGTGTCAGCACTTGTTCCGTGACGGCCCGGTTACAGCTCTGCAGCGTCCCGGCCATTTTCACCCGTGGGCCCTGGTGAACGTGGGCCCTGCACCCCAGCCCCCCTTCTCACTAAGTGGCCAGAGGTGGTGCTGTACAGCGAGAGCGTTACCAACGCTCTTTAAAAAATGTTTTAAATACATTTTTATTGGATTCAGAGAGGAAGGGGGAGGGAGAGGGAAAGAAACATCCATGATGAGAGAGAATCATGGACTGGCTGCCGCCTGCTGCCCCCTCCTGGGGATCAAGGCCCCAACCAGGGCCTGTGCCCTGACCGGGAATCGAACCCTGACCTCCTGGCTCATAGGTAGACGCTCAGCCTCTGGGCCCCCTGTTGCTGTGACTCACCTCCCCCCGGAGGGCGGGCTCAGGCAGGGCTGCTGTGCCGGCTGCAGAGAAGGTAGACCAGTTGCCCAGCGTGGAGGCGCCCCCGTGGCGGGGGTCCTGACGGAGTCCCCCTCCCCGCCCAGATCACGCGCTGCCCCATGATCCCCTGCTACATCTCCTCCGTGGACGAGTGCCTGTGGATGGACTGGGTGACGGAGAAGAGCATCAACGGGCACCAGGCCAAGTTCTTCGCCTGCATCAAGAGGAACGACGGCTCCTGTGCCTGGTACCGCGGGGCGGCGCCGCCCAAGCAGGAGTTCCTGGACATCCAGGACCCGTAGCGCCCGCCGCCCGGAGGCCCGCGCGCAGGCCCGCCCCCGGAAACCGCATGAATAAACCGTCCTCCAACGGGTCTAAGTCCTGTCATTCCCCCTACTCCCTGTGTGCGGCCTCCGCCCTGGCTGCGGGCAGGGGACCCGGCTCCCTCCCAGGCCAGCCTGGTGCTGCCACAGATGCTGAGTGAGCAGCACCCGGGGTGGGGGCAGAGCCTGGACGTGTGCATTTTGCAGAAACTTGAGGGTCTTAGCAAGACTGTGTAGCAGGTCTACCAGGTCCCTCCCTCCCCCCCACAGGGGCGTGTCCCTCGTTTCTTGCAGCTTCCGCACCTCTGGCCCTGGGGTGTCATCCCCACCCCTGGCCAGTGCCCCCGCCCCCCAGGCTCCCCAGCTGACCTCGGGCTCCCACGCCAGCGACTCCCGTATTCCGGAGCAGCTTGGTCTGGAAGGAGCCCCGATTACTCTCCGGCATCCACGGAATTCCAGGGGGACCTCCCCCTCCCCCGGGCCTTGCCCCTGCCCTCCCTCTCCAGCCCTGGGGGGCGTGAGACGCTCTGCCCTGAGATTGGGGGGGGGGCGCTTGGCTGCCCTTGGCTTGTCCTTGAGCTTCTGAGGTCCCTCAGGCTCCCCTCCCCTCCCGGCACCCGTGTCTGGACGGAGTTGCACAGACTGGCTTTTCGGGGCCCGTGGCCGGAGCTCCTGTGCCGTCTGTGTCCCTTCCTGGGGACAGGAGAGCGGGGTCCCCCGCCTGCGGGTGCGGGGCTGTGCCTGCGTTCTGCGGGGACGTGTGTCTCCGGGGAAACGCCTCCCTCCAGGGCCCCGGGGCTGCGGCCGGCCGTGAGAGACGCCTCTTTTTTCTATAGATGAGTTCTCAGACCGCAAGCAAATCGAGGTGCAGGTGTACCCCCCTCTGCTGATTTCCCTTCTATTACCAGCATGTCTCCATTAGGAAGCCTCTGTCAGAGGGAACTCGGGGCCTGTTTGTCCCCTGAACATGGTTTTCTGATGCCAGCAGGAGGGGGTGACACGGTCTGCTCGTCAGAATAAAGAGAATCCTCTTACTTCTGCTTGCTTTGTAAACACACCCTGTCCTAAGTTGACCGTGCACATTAGACAAACATGCACCCACACACGCACAGTGCACGCGTACGCACACACCGCAAAGCAGGTCTGCTGGCCCGCGAGCAGCCGGTGTCTTCAGCCCGCTCTGTTCTGCGGGGACCCCTGTGCCCCTACAAGGCCCCCGTCTTCCCAGTGGCCGCCCGGGACCTGGTCAGCACAGACTCGGATGACCCCTCCTTTTGGGACAGACTGCGAGGTCCGGCCTGGCCCGCCCGTGCTGTGCGGGGGTGCGGTCCGTCGGGACGGACCAGCCCTGGGGTCACAGTGTGACCAGAGCGCCGTCCGCCCGCCTCCCGCCCCGTGTCCGGTGTGACACTGACTCCCGCTCCCGCCGGCTCAGCGTGCCGGTTGTCTCTGACCCAGGGTGGCCGTGTGGCCGCCCCCGTGCCGTGTGCTCGTCACCGTCCGTAGGTGGCGGGCACTTTGTGTTTTTAAGTTTCCGCATCACGGAAGCATGTGGCTCAGCGTGGTGAGCACGGCGTGGCCCTCCCCTCCCCTCTGGTCCCAGTTGTTACCAAGAAAAGGATGGAAAGGCCAGCCCTCCTGTTTAACACAGGCACGTGGCCTGTCAGCCGTGCCCAGCGGGAAGACACCAAACCCGAAGGGCAGTGGCCGGCGGCCCGGGTCTCGGCACAGCATGTCCCGCAGCCCATACAGCGGGCCCTCCCTCGGCCGGTCACTCCGTCACGCTCTGCCCCTGCTCACGCTGTTTAAATCAAGTTCCCGTGTAGTCCTCCTCTGCCTGGTGACCGTGTGGGACTCGCTGCCATGTGTCAAGCTCTGTGGACGCTGTGGGATTCTGTGTGTCTTTAAGGGACTCGTGGGGGGCACTGTGTTTTGCTGGGACAGGACCTTCCCGTGCTGGGAACACGCGTGAGCCGAACGGACAGGCAGCCTGCGCATGTCCCCGATGCTTTGTACATTCCTGTGAGCGCTGGTCAGTGGCCAATAAACAGTATTATCCAAGCGAACTGCTCCCTGCGTGTGGCTGGGTCTCATGTTCGGAGCCGGGCAGACACCCCGGACAGGATTTCCTCGAATTGGCAAATAACAGAGCGGGGGAGGGGCCCCTTCATTGACTGAGCACAGGCCTTTCTGTTCACACACACACACACACACACACACACACTCCGCTCTGTCACAGCATTAACGCCACCCATTTGGTGTCACCGGCTGCAGAAGGAGTTCAGGTGGTGGTGGTTTTCTGTACGGGGAGCCGCCTCCTGTGTGCAGGTCACACGTGCTTCCCATGAACACTGCCAGTGGTGGGGAGCTCCCGTAACGGACAGAAACGGAGCCCGCTTTCCAGCCGGGCGCACCGCGCTCAGGCTCCGGCCCCGAGCCCAGCCGCCTCGGTCTTTGCAATCCGTTGGCAAGCAGAGCAGTCTGCAGGCCACAGATGGGGCCAGATTGCCAGGAGCCTCCCAGACACTGTTATCCCCTCAGTTTTGCTCATTCTGCGGCAGGACGGGCTGGGCCAACGGAGGACAGCCTGGCTCTCGGGTCAGAGCTCCAAGCAGACCTGGGGTTGGGGGTGGGAGGGGCAGTGGGGCCGGGGGCTGAGAGCGGGGGGGGGGGGGGGGGGGGGGGAGCCGCCAGGACTGGTCCAAGTGCTTTAAAAGTTGGGTGGCCCTGTCTTTCCCCTCCTGCTTCCTAGTGGATACCTTTAAAAATCCAACCCAAACAGTGGGCCTCCAGACTGTGCTTCGCTGGGGTCAGCTACATCGCGGGCAGCTGGCTGTCACCATGGGTTTTGCCTTCCGAGTTGAAGTTCATGACCAGGCCCACCTCCACCCCCATCCTGCAGGGCGAGGGGGCGGAGCTTTGATCAGCTGACGGGGGGGGGGGGGGGGGGGAGCCGACGACGCCATTCAGAAACCGTGCCGGCTGGGAGGGCTTCCCACGGAATCCAGGCGACACTCCAGCCCCAGCCTCACGGAGGGCGAGTGCGAGGAGGATTGGGTCGGGGATGGGGTGCAGAGAGCACGCTGCCTGGGTCACCCTGGAACGGAGAACGCTGGACCTCTTACTTTGAAGCTGTGTCTTGCTTCGCCCCTTCAGGCAGGTCCGGGTGGGGGAGGAGCAGGCGCAGGAGCAATATCCCCCCCTCCCCCCCCGTGTTGTGATGGGGTGCTGGTCATGGGGGCGCCCTCTGCCCAGCAGGTGGCACCCTCCAGGCTCTTAGAAGGAAGGTGTTCAGCTCAGCAAACGGTGAGGTGAGACTTGGGAGCAGCAGATGGGGGGCGGGGGGAGCTTTTCCAACCCAGGTTCCCAGACACCAGCCCGTGAGCAGGCTCTGGCCACGAGGGTGGCTCTGGCGGGCACAAGCGCTGTCCCTTCCCTTCCACGGTCCTTCCCCCGCTCAGGGCCCCGCTCCCAGCCCCCGAGGACGACGGCTTAGGCCACCACCCGGCTCCCCGGCAGTTCCAGCGCAGCTCACGCTGGCCACGCCGGGACTTATGCTGAAGGTTCCACGTATGGCACCTCAATGAGCATGTGCCAACTCCCATCTTCCTCATTTAAAAAATAATTTTAATATATTTTTATTGATTTCAGTGGGGAAGGAAGAGGGAGAGAGGGAGATACATCAATGATGAGAGAGAATCATGGACCGGCTGCCTCCTGCACGCCCCCCAGTGGGGATGGAGCCCACAACCCAGGTGTGTGCCCTGATGGGAAACTGAACCGTGACCTCCTGGTTCATAGGTTAATGCTCAACCCCTGAGCTGCGCCAGCTGGGTGGCCCGTCTCCTTGTTGGCTAGCATTTTGGGCTCAATAAAAGCTTTCTTAAGAGTTTCAGCTCTGGAAGTTCCACGTTTTGTTTAACAGAAGCAACTCCCCGAGGAGCCGGCGAGGGCCCAGGGGAGCTGTCGGCACCTCGGGGTGGCAGGGCCGCGGGGGGAGCCACCCGGGAGCCCGGGGCGAGCACACGTGGGGGTTCTGATGGAGCCAGAGCCCCTGCCACAAGCGCCTCTCAAAACGGAGCAGAAGGGATGGCCCTGCTCCTCCTTCCTGCGCCCTCTGTTCCTGCAGGAATTGCCACGTGGCCAGCCGGACTGCCCCCTCACACCCCCCCCCAAAAAAAAAAAAACCAGTTCCCAGGGCAGCCTGGGAAGAGTGGAAGAGGCAAGGATTTGGTGAGTGCCAACAGGGTAGAAATGGGGAGGCAGCGGGGGGTGGGGGGAGGGAGGCGGTTTCTGGGCACGGCGAGGGTGAGGTGCCCCTGGGCCTCCGGGGGAATTGTCCAGGAGGCACTGTCTGGACCCCGATGCCAGAGAGGGGAGAGGGCTGCCTCGGCCCGCGGGAGCCTGCCAGCCCACAGCCCGCAGTGGCAGGAGCAGGGCATGTGCTCACAGGAAAGTGCTCCTGTTACAGAAAACACTCAGATTCACTTCCCGAGAGGGTGCTTCGTTTTAGGTCTGCAAGCTCCGTTCCGTTCCCTCCAACTTCCATCTGAGTCACGTGAACATTCCTCCGGGCTCCACCCACAGCCTCTGGTGGGAAGGGGGGGGAGCACAGATGGAGTGTGGGTGGCCCCAGGCCCGCCCAGCATCCAGCACTCAGATTACATTCCCCAGCAGGGAGCAGGGCCTGGGCTATTTCTGTCACCTCCTAAGAATTTCTGGGTGACCTGAAGGTGTGAACTTGGAGAGCCCAACAAACACCTGGCTTCCACCCCCAGGTCCTCCCCCGGTGCTTGCTGGGATACCGCACACATCTGTAAGACGGAACCCTATCTCTTTGTAGGATTAGATCGGACAATGCTGGCCAAGTGGCCACCTCGGAATTTAGCACATGTGAGCTCAGCAATGGAAGTAAATGTCGTTGGCTGTTATTGGAAGGATGAAAGAGAGACTTGAGGCCCAGTGCATGAAATTCATGC